GAGGATGGACAGAGGATCTGGGGTGGATTTAGGGAGGATCCCTCCCCCTGACTGGGCAGGACGGGCTCTGCTCCCCGTTATCAGAACAGCCCCACCCTGCCTGGGTGTGGGGGCCTCGTGTGGTCCCACCCAGAGCCCCATCTGTGCCCGGGATCCCCGATCCCACCCCGCTCCAGGGGCTCGGCCCTCTCTTGGGGACCCAGGGCCCGTCCTGTCTCGGGGGCCAGGGGATGGGCCCTGGTGGGGTGGGCTGGGCTGGGGCACCCCCCGTGTCCGTGGAGACCTCCAGAGACCCCCGTGTGCACGGAGACCCCCTGTGTGCACGGAGACCCCCTGTGTCCATGGAAACCCCCGTGTCCATGGAAACCCCTGTGTCCATGGAAACCCTGTGCCTACAGAGCCCCCTGTGCCCATTGAGCCCCCCGAGTCCATGGAGACCCCCCCGAGTCCATGGAGACCCCCAGAGTCCCCTGTTCCCACGGAGACCCCCCTGCCCATGGAATCCTTCGTGTCCATAGAACCCTCCCTATCCATAGAACCCTCCCTGTCCATGGAATCCCCCATATCCATGGAACTCCTCATATCCATGAAACACCCCCCCCCGTGCCCATGGAATCCTTCATGTCCATAGAACCCTCCATATCCATGGAACCCCTCATAGCCAAGGAATCCCCCCATATCCATGAAACCCTCCATATCCATGAACCACCCCCAGTGTCCATGGAACCCTCCATATCCATGAAACCCTCCATATGCATGGAACAACCCCCGTGTCCACGGAACCCTCCATATCCATGGAACCCTCCACATCCATGAAACCCTCCATATCCATGAAACCCTCTATATCCATGAAACCCTCCATATCCATGGAAACACCCCGTGTCCACGGAACCCCCCATATCCACGGAACCCTCCATATCCATGGAACCCCCCCCGTGCCCACGGAACCCTCCGTTCCCACGGAGACCCCCGTGCCCGCAGAGCCTCCCGCGCCGCCGGAGCCGCCCCTGCCCCTTTCCCTTACGCCATTTCCGTACTGCCCCCCCCTCCCCTCCTTCCCCTCCCCTCCCCTCCCCTCCCTCCCCCCGCGCAGCGCTCCGGGCCCGTCGCGCCCTTTGCGCACCTTTTGCGCCCCTTTTGCGCACTTTGCGCAGCGCGGGCCCCGCTCGCCGCGGCCGCGCCCTTCGGGAAGGCGGCGGGGGCGCGACCCACGACTCGGCCTCTTTACCCCCCCCAGCTCCTCCCCGCCGTCCCCCCGGAGCTCACCGGCCCACGAAGTTCTCGAGCACCGAGCTCTTGCCCGCGCTCTGCCCGCCCACCACGGCGATCTGCGGCAGGTCGAGGTGGCAGCTCTGGCCGATGGAGCTGAAGGCGTCCTGCAGCTTGTTGACCAGCGGGATGAGCTCCTCCATGCCGCGGTTCCCCATGGCGGGGCCGGGAGCGGCGGCGGCTCCTCCTCGCGGGGCCCGGGGCGGCGGCGGCGGCGGCGGCCAAACTTCCCCTCAGAGTCTCGCCATCCGGGCCCGCCCCCCGCCCCGCCAGCGCCG